ATTTTTAACAGACACGGGCGCTGAGAGCATTGTGCGGAGGGTTACACTCCGACACCTTGATAGGAATCCTTGCAGGTGAGGGTAGATCTTGGACGACGCCCCTCATATCCGTATTATGAACTGGTCAGGGCTTGCTCCCTGGTCTCAGATATGGATCCCTCGGTGAGGAGAGCCCCTCGCGTTCAGTAGATGAGTTACCACTTTTTCGGCCCTCTGTCTGCTGAACGTGACCTGGATGTTTCTCCATAGCTCGTATGAACACTGCTGACGGAGTGGAATAATAGTGCACTGGGAGCGATCTGCTGCGTGGCGGGAACCTTTTGCCTTCTGCCTTCTATCCACGGCAACGCCGACTCGTCTATGGGGAGAGCTTCCGTGTTGTTCTTTGCAGTATTGTTCAGCGCATACATCTTGCTATGGAAGAAGACGCGTGTCTCGACCATCATCATTATCATTGAAGAAGAAGAGGAAGACGCGTGTTAACATCATTACCATCATTTTCAAAGAAAGAAGACGAAGACGCGTGTCATCATCATCGTCATTATCATTGTCATCATCATCATCGAAGAAGAAAAGGAAGACGTGTGTCATTATCAACAACATCATCGAATAAGAAGAAGACACGTGTCATCTGGGCGCAAATGGATACTAGTAGGGTTCGCCACAGAGGTTGGCCTTGTGCTCTTTGGTGCTGACGAGACAGATGATCCTGGGGTTGGATTATCGATTGGATAGTTTTGCACGTGCTTTTTTCAAAATTCGGACCGATTATCATGGTTAATCAGTGAGGTTGTTGGTGTTGCTTTTCTTTCGCCCCTTTTTTTACTGGATGGGGCTTTCTGCCTGTAGGACAATAGAGGACGTGGTGGGGATCACCTGGAATGATGGGCCTGATGCTGGTTCTGTGAAGTGTGCTGCTCAGTTCTGCTAAATTAGGGCATGGGGTTTGACATAGTGTGGCTGCATTTTGCTCTGTAGATAATTTGCGGTTAACAGACATAAAATTTGGCACTGCCTGTAGACCATTAGAGGATGTGGCGGGGATCACCTGGAATGATGGGCCTGATGCTGCCCCCTCGTCAGGTCTGTCGTTTTGGAATGGTCTCTGCCTGGTTGTGTGAAGCCTGCTGCTCAACTCTGCTAAAATCACAGCATGGGGTTCGACTTAGTGTGGCTGTTTTTGCTCTGTAGATAACTTGCGGTTAGCAGATATAAAACTCGACACTATATTAGGGTTATTCCCTTATTGATATTAGGGATGGTTACAGTTTTTGCTCCGTAGGTAAATTAGGGTTGATTGATATGAAAGTTAATGAAACTTGATACTATTGTGGGGTTAATTCATCATTAGTGTTACGGACGATTACGATAATTGGGATGGGTGAGGGTGAAGAATTTGTGTGGCTGTTTCTGTGTGTAGACAATATAGAGTTAATCGATATAAAATTCCACTTCAGAATAGGATTAAATTCCACGTTACGGTGGGTCAGGGTAATTTCATAAGTTTTTGATTTTTTGCAACTAGGGACGGGCTGAAGACAGGTGTCTTCATTGTGGGAGGTCTGTGGTTGGGGATGGGACTGGCCAGGAGTGCCTCTCCCAGCCCGCTTTGGCTACGACATTCTTGTGCGGGACACTGGGCCCGTTTCCCAGTTTTAAAATACAAAGAACGCCACTTCTTTTTTTTTTTTTTTTCGAAAGACGAGGCAAATATGATTATGTGATGATCTGTTTTCTTTTTGATTGATGTGATCATGATCTTTCATATCAAGAATTAGGGCGTTCGCTGCACCACTTACAGAATGTGCGAAATCAGTGTGCATGTATCTTCCGGCAGAATGTGGCCACATACACCCGCCATAGTTTTTGGCCTTTTCACATTTGGTGAGTGCTGCGGCGAGGTCCATACATAGACATACAGGCGTATCAGCTCTGGGTGGAAAGTTGGAAACCTTTGATTTTTTTTTTTGGGTTAAAAAACGAACCTTGCATTGCCAGTAGTCGAATTTCAATTGAAAAAGGGAGCCGGCCAAACTTGTTTTTTTCTTTTTCTTTTTCTTTTCCAAACTTGTTTTTTTTTTTTTTTTTTTCCGGTTAAAAACAAGCCTTGTAATGTCAATTGAAAAAAGGGGCCGGGTTCTTCGGGACATCCATTAAAATTGGAACGATACAGAGAAGATTAGCATGGCGCCTGCGCAAGGATGACACGCATAAATCGAGAAATGGTCCAAATTAAAAAAAAAAAAGGGGCCGGCCAAACATGATTTTTTTTTTTTTTTTTTTTTTGCCAATGTTACGATCCTGGCCAATTCCGAAATATAAAAACATCAGAAAGTACAATGCCGTCCAATTGCAAAAAGAAATGAAAGAACTTGAGAGGAGAGAGAGGGAAAGGAGAAGAAGAAGAAGTCAGAAAGAAGAAGAAGATGATGTACTCCAGCATAGACCAATGACAAAGCTCTTCTTCTCCACCAACCAATCTCCGCCTCCTTCTCTCCTCCCCTCTTATTCAAACAAGAAATAAGTTCAAATAACAATAATAATGTTGAATGGCTGAACCAAAATCAATGTCCGAATCCCACTTCTACTGCAGGCATAACATGAGGTCCACCATAGCCATGGCCACCATTCTCCTTCCTCGTTATTGCACAGGCCGAGGCTATGGCGGACTACTGAGGCTTCAGCCTCCTGTTCAAAGGACAACCCAAATCAGCTATGTCGCTGCCCCATTTCAAGAAGCTATGCCGCTGCTCACTGAACCGCCATGCCTGACTCTACCCCGAGCTTCCTTGGTGCGGCACTACCCCAACGGGGCCTTCCAGATGCAGCGCCTAACAAGGTGATGAAGATGTTGTCCACCATAGCCAGGTAGGTACCTCGCCACTCTCCCCCTTGGTCCCCTTCTTCCTCCTCCTCCTACCGGTAGAGCTCCACCATAGCCAAGGTGGAAGCTCCCGGCTTCTTCCTCCCAGCAGCGMTGTAGCAGCCAGCGCTCTTCCAACCAGCGCTCCAACAGCGTGACGCCCAACTCGCACACTGAAGAATGAGGCCAAGCTCTTGCCTCGGCCTCTTGATATAGCGGCCTGCTTGCCTCCTGGGCGGTGACTTCCAGGCCGCTCGGCCTCCCAAGCAACCGGTACCTCCCCCCTTTCGGAGGGAAACATCATTGCAGACTCTGATATTGCCCGTACAGGCTCTAGACTCCGACTGGATGGACTGGTACCGGCCTAGACCTAGCCTACCGCTACTGGGCCTCTAAAAATGCCAACTTTGTCTTCTTCTGCTCGGCCTCGAGTACCGCACATCTACTGCTACTGGGTGCGGTACCGGCCTACCTGCTACTTGAGTGTTTTTCCGCTGCTCTAAGCACCGCGGGCCCCTGGCTCCGTTACTTGAGTGTTTTCCCTGCTGCAACCCTCAATGCCACGGCCACAGGTAAGTACCCGCCCTACGGGCCTACCAAACAAGCAAGTACCCTTGCAGGTCACACACACACTCATCCCAACAAGCACTCAGACAGGCACGCACACATACACACTTAGAAAACACAGCAGAATGCGGGAATCTCAGCAAGGCATCCATTCCATCGGCAGAACTTCAGAAATCAGCAGTGCTCTCAGTCTGTGTTATGGTGGGTCATTACACCAAACTTCATTTCCAATCTGAACGATCTACAAAAAAAAAGACAGAAGAAATAAGTCCACAAATGTGATAGTGCGAGGAACAAGCCCTCACGGGGCCCTATCAGACATCACATGTTCTGGGCAAAGGCCCCCAGCAAGCCAAGTGCCCGCCCTAAGTGAAGGCGGGCCTGAATATTCGTCAAAGGCCAAAATTCGACACTTTCGTATGTGGGTATTCAGGCTCTTGCAGCACACCAGTTGGTTGAATGGACGTGCGAGCCTCACGAAGCTGCATTGTACAGTTGGCCCAGGCCTTGACAGTTGCGCCTCGGCACATGCACACAAAGCAGGGCCGATACATTGAGAAGCAGGCCATCGGCCTATGCAAAAGCAGTACTGTCGACGCACCTGCCTGGGAGCCCTGCACAGATGCAGCAAACAGCCCAAGTCCAGAGACTCAGGCCGTGCCCAACTGTAAAAGGGGCCCAGGCCCTCAACTGTAGGCTCAGGCCTGGGCGCAGGGACTGAGGCCCAACCAGAAGCTACTGGACGCTTCCAGCCAGGCCACACACAGCATCCAGGAGGCTGCCACTTCCATAAAAGAAGTGAGGCAGCTCAGGCCAGGCATTCAGGCCTGCTAGGCAATGCGGAAGTGCTGCTGCGCTACTGCTTGATGCTGCGCTGCGGCCAAGGGCGCTGACGGGGCGCATAGAGGTGAGGTGGGGCGCTGCAGGGCAGCGGGGCGCAGGCGGCCATAGCAGGCCACTACTCCTAAGGCCGCAGCGCAGCCCGCAGCGCAGGCGGCCATAGCAGGCCACTAATCACAAGAAGATATCAAAGAATAATTTGACAACCCCCCCCCCCCCTTTTTTTTTTTAACTACGCTACATTCTTCTTTGATATCTTTCACCATCTTTCAATTTCTTTCAATCCACCTTCACTACCTGCCTACCACTACTCCTAAGGCTCATACAAAGGACCCCTGTAAAACCGTTTTTTTTTCTTGTGTGTGTGTGTGTGGGGGGGGTGTCAACTTATTATGATTTAAATTTTAAATTTTAAAATGTAAAACCCTGCACAGCGTCGTAGTCGTCTTCATTGTCAAGGGTGTCATTTTCTCTTTTTTTTCAAAGTCCCTATTTTTTTTTTTTCCTTTGTTTTTTGTGATGTCCTGTGTTTCATGGAGCCCCTCATCCCTCTCTAATCTCTCTAAGCTCGATATGTCTTTTGGCGCACCCCCTGTTTTTACCTATGGAAGTAACAAGGCCGTAGTCATCATCATGATTCAGAAAGTGAAAAAAAAAAGGAAAAGGGAAAAAAGGAGGAGGGAAAAAATAACTAGTGCATTCCAGACGGGTGTGTGGTGGGGACGCAGCTTCGCCTCGCCTGGCTCTGGTCGCCATAGCCAGTTCTTTGAGGGCCTAGTTGCACTACTCGCCATCCACCAACATTTTGAAGGCATCTGGATTCAAATTTGTCCAGATTCATTCAGAATGTTGGTGGATGGCGAGTATGGCAACTAGGCCCTGAGAAGCACTTACCTTCGACACAATCACGTCCAAAACAGTTAAAAAATCCCTTCACATCTGAAATGAACAAAATTAATCCGAAAGAGATAAGTCCGAAGGAGACAAGAGCACTCACGCTGGGTGCACCATAATTTGAAAAATTGAAAAACTCAACTCAGTTTTCCAGAAAAGAACCAACCATCATGACTTTCAAGCTCCTTAACGCCCTGGCTTTCGAAACATTCTCTCTCTCTCTCTCTCTCTCTCTCTCTCTCTCTCTCTCTCTCTCTCTCTCTCTCTCTCTCTCTCTCTCTCTCTCTCTCTGATCTTGGTTCAAGGTCAAAGCTTGAGTCGGAAAGAATCGCACGCTACACAGGCTTAACCTTCCCTGCTGCGGGCACACCATACTTTGAAAAAGAATGAGAACTCAAGTTACTCAACTCAAATTTCTGGAAAAGAACAGCCATCGCTTTCCTCAGTTTCCTGTTCATAAACGCTGTACAGGCTTACCCTTCCGGGCTTCCTCTCTCTTCTCTTTTCTCGACCAGCTGGACACGAAACCCTGTCGAAAACTCCCGAATCCTGGAGGCCACCGCCGAGGAGAGTGATGTGGTAGCTGTGGTGACTGCGAGATCTCCTCCTCCTCCTCCTCCTCCTCTTCTTCTTCTTCTTCTTCTTCTTCTTCTTCTTCTTCTTCTTCTTCTTCTTCTTCTTCTTCTTCTTCTAGAATTTCTCCTTCGTACTCTGCTTCTTCCACTTCTGCTTGGATATGGCGGTCAACGGCGCTCTGTCTCGACCGCTCATGAATGGTCACAACCGCTGCTCCTCTGCTCGCCTTGCTGCGCGAGACAGGCTTATCATTCGTCTCGATCCCGATCCCGATCCCGATCCCGCTCCCGCTCCTGATCCCGAACCCGTCTTCGTCATCAACATCATAATCTACTTTCTTCTCCCCTTGATAGTGTCTGGAGCTGCATTTTTCTTGGCTATGGATGCCGTTACCCTTCAGTTGCCGTCGCCTTGTACCTCTGATGACAGACGAAGACGACAAAGTCGTCGAGTGTCGTCCTTGCTTTCCGCCATATCCATCGCCAGGCAGAGCTCCCTTACGCAGATGAGGAGGTGATGTCGTTGTGTGAGGAGAAATCATTATGTCGCTTCCTCTCTGATCGACCTGGCCCCTCGGGTCAGGATCGTTCATCTCCGTCACGATCTCTCTCAGACCGACGATGGCCGACTGAGCCTGGCCATGGCCATGGCCATGTTGACCATCATGATCCTTCTTGTGGGCTTTCTTCTTCCATAACGACCTGAACAATCGGGAGACAAAGTTTCCTTTTTTGGAAAACCTCTCTCCTTGTTCGTGATGACTTGCAGTTGAACATTCGTCGGAGATTTCGGTATCACGTGAAGATGGCAACGGCAATGACGCAGAAGACGACAGAACGGCCGATGACCACGAAGCGGACCGCGAGGGAGATGTCGTGGGGCGGACATCCCGATCCCGATCAGGACTTTGTGTCATCGGACGGCTGTGCCAAGCTCGTGGCATGTGGTAGCGGCTGTCTCGAGCTTGCGAGGGGGACGACGGTGACACAGGAGGAGGAGCAGTGTAAGCACCAGCTTCGTCTGCACGAAAGGGAAACAACACGGTGATCACCGAATGCGACGAAGATGGGTTTGGCCGCCCTCGCAACTGCTGAAGGTCACGGATGCCATGGTTCTTCCGCCTGCCATCGTCAGCTCCCTCTCCTTTGCCAGTTCCAGTTCCATCTTCAGTTTCAGTTCCATCTTCATCACCGGCTGCAGTCCCAGTTCCAGTTCCAGTTCCAGTTGCAGTTCCAGTCCCAGTTCTAGTTCCAGTTCCATCCTTAGTTCCATAGCCATTGCCAGTTCCATCATTAGTCCCAGTTTCATAGCAAGTTCCAGTTCCATAGTCAGTTCCAGTTCCAATTCCAGTCCCATCCTTAGTTCCATAGCCATAGCCAGTTGCATCACCAGTCCCAGTTCCATCCCAAGTTCCAGTTCCACTGTCAGTTCCATTTCCAGTTCCAGTTCTGGTTCCAGTTCCATGGCCATCGCCATCGCCATTGCCATGGCCTTGTCCATGTTGATGGGATGGCCAGGCTCGTGGGAGCTGAGCAGCAGCTGCTGCAGCAGAAGTGTGGGTTACAGTGGCAGAAGGTTCTGAGAGAAGACTTCCAAAGACGTCGTCTTTCTGATAGATCTGCCCTGGAGGTCGGACACTACAACTTTCCCGAGATGAGTTAACCTCAACCTCATTGAAAACTCCATCGTCACGATGATCATGAAAATTAGGAGCGAGGGAGACAGACCGACCACCCTTTCGAGGTTTATCTTCGCACTGATTATTGTGAGAATTGTAAGCACGGAAGATAGACTGGCCACCCTTTCGAGGTTTATCTTGATGCTGGTTGCTCGCTCCTTCCTGCCTAGTAAGAGTTCCACCGTTTTCTACTCGTCGAGGCACAGGGTCGACTGCTGGTGAGGCGACTGCAGTTACCTGCAGCTTTGCAGCTTGCAGCTCTTGCTCGGCAGCAGCAGCGGCGATGAGATCCTGGCCAAAAGCACATGACCACGGCAATATGTGCGAAGCAAGATTTGCAGGCGATGTCCCCTCGCACTCGATCATGTCGCCCACTCCGTTGCTTACTCGTTGAATCAGTTGTTGGGTGACAACCTCCAGCTCAAACTCAATGCGCTCCGTCTGCTCAACGCTTGGTAGCATGGGAGAAATGGGAGAGGGTGAAATGGGAGACTGCCACGCAAGCTCGCTGTTCTGCTTCTTACTTGTCTGTTGCTGTCGGAGTTCGAGCCTCGCCAATGATTGCTTTTTTCTTCCTCCTCCACCTCGGTCTTCAAACCTGGTCCTGGATATGTTCCTAGCTGAGGATTCCTCGAACCTGGTCCAAGTTTGGTTCCTTCTTTGTTCGTCGGCACTCCTCCTGACTGGTGATTCCTCGAACCTGGTGAGAGTTTGGTTCCTTGCTTGCTCCTCCTCCTCTTCAGATCTGGTCGGCAGTGATTCGTTTTCCCTCTGTTGTTCTTTGAACCTGGTCCGAGTTTTGGTCTGGCATTCTTCGAACCTGGTCCAAATTTGGTTGCTTCCATATTCGTCTTCACTCTTCCTGACTGGTGATTCCTTGAACCTGGTGAGAGTTTGGTTCCTTGCTTGCTCCTTCTCTTCAGATCTGATCGGGGGCAATTCGTTTGCCCGCCGTTGTTCTTTGAACCTGGTCCTGGTCCGGCATTCTTTGAACCTGGTCCAAGTTTGGTTCCTTGATTGCTCATCCTCTTCAGATCTGGTCGGCGGCGATTCGTTCGCCTGCTGTTGTTCTTTGAACCTGGTGCTGGAAGTGCAGAGTCTCCAGCCTTGCCTCTGCTCTTCTTCTAGCGACATCTTGGATCTGTTCCTGGATTTTTGGTCCTCATCTATCCTGGTACAGGATTTGATCCTGGCGTCCTTCTCTTCATACGTGGAATGGAATTTCCTACAGGAACGGAGATGAGTCACGACAGTCGTTGGAGGCCAAGCTGCCAAAGTCCAGGCCCTCCCTCGAATGCTATTGGGAAGTTTCTCCTTTCCACTGAGACATAATTGCCCTTCATCTTTAACGGTAATATGACCACCTCCCTTGTCGATATATTCTCTCTTCTCCTCTTGCTCTTGATCTTCTTCTTCGCTGTAGTGATTATATACCTGCATTGCTGTTTTCGATATGATAGGGATTACAGAGCATGAGGGCGGGAGTGCTGAGCGGCTTTGCAGTCCTAGCAAAGATGAGGTCGATGACGATGAAAAGAGCGATCTAGAGGAGGAAGTGGTGGCGGTATGGTGCTCGGCGCACCCATGAAGGGTCAGTGAAAGCTCCTGCATTCCTTCTCCTTCTCCTTCTCCTTCTCCTTCTCCTTCTCCTTCTCCTCCTCGTACATCAGCTGCAGCAGAGTGATCCTCTATCCAAGCGCATGTAGATGACATAAGAGTAGATGGTATCCCGAACTCATCGACAGTTCGCCCCCCTTGGGCAACTGATGGGAGTCTGGGAGAGACTGGGTCAAAAAGAGGAGGAGGCAGAGGAGGAGGAGGAGAGATCGTGGCAATTTCTACCTTAACTTCTGAAGAGTCGATGGTGGTGGCCGTTAAGCGATTGTGTAGGACTGCAGGAAATTGCGGAAGGGCAGCGGTCGGAGGCAGTTGCTGGGCATTTGACAAACAGGAAGGGTGGGAAGTGGAAACAGGAAGGAGGGGGGAAGAAGAAGGGGAAGGAGGCAAAGGAGGAGCAGGAGAAGAAGGAGCTGAGTGAGGAGCAGCAGGAGGCAGAGGAGGAGGAAGCCCTGCAACACATGGGTATGTGTGAGCGAGGGCCGTTTGATCCGGGCAGGGCGGTGATACTGACACGTGCAGACAACTCCATGAGGACAATGAACATGGTGCAGCATCCTGCGGATGACGTGTCGCCAACGTAGATGGCGGTGGTGGCAATAGAGGTGCAATTGCTGGTCCACTCTGTGGAAGTGGAAGAGATTCTGATTCCTTGACGAAGCCCGGAGAAGACACAGGGTTCCCTGACTCCACCTTAGCCCCGACAGACACGATCTTCCCGGGGGTCGAACAGCTGACGTCCTCTTTCCTAACGGCTGATGCAAACTGGGTAAACAACTGGTGATTCTCCTCCTCCTGCGAGGAGTGGTTCCATGGAGCACTGGCGCGGATTCGCTCCCCATACGAACCAGGGAGATCGTGATTTGCGAGACTGAGTTCTTGCCCTCCGGGATGAGCCTGGTATGATGGCAACCTGATCCCGACAGAGCTGCTGACTGTGTTCGGGTCGGTGGAGTTAAGGACAGTCACTGTGCTGCAAAGTGTCAGTCCCTGTTGAGCAGATCGCTGCAAGTCAGAGAACCGGCTGACTGTCTGGGAAGCTCTAGAGACAAGGACAGCAGCACAGCGTTGACATATCAACTGGGAGTCAGGTCGCTGAAGAGGGGAAAAGGCTGTTCTTTCGCTGACGTGCAGCGAGTCCCAGGTATCAAAGAAGCATCCTTCTGTCGATGGAGTTGTCGGGGCGGAAGAGGTCAGATGTGTGACACTCTGTGTGACACTCCTCGTCACATTTGAGAGGGAGAATGGTGACTCCAGCTCGCCATAGGGCGTACCCGAGGGAGAGCAGAGGTGCAGAGACAGAATCGGAGAAGATGTAGTAGTCGTAGGAGGAGGGGACTTCACAAACAAGTCGTCTTGACAAAGCGGCGAAGAGAGAGAGAACAGTGGAGCAGGTGAGGACAAAGAAGATGGTGTGGGAACAGGCCATGCTATCCTTTCTGTGAAATTCTGTTGCCAAGAAGGCAGATATGGCAATTCATAGGCACCACCCTCCATGCACTGAGAACTTAACTGGTGACTGTCAGACAGATTCAGACTGTCATAAGCCTCGATCGGCTGAGTGGGAGTGCAGGTACTCCGAGGTAACCGAGCACACTCAGAAGCCACAGTGAAGGAGTCCTGTGAACGCCGGTCTCGGGGGACCCCTCCCCCTCCCCCTCCCCCTCCCCCTCCTCCTCCTCCTCCACATCCTCCTTCTTGATGGGATTGGGAGGTAGGCAATGGCGAGGAAGTTGTTGGACCCTCCTCCTTTGACTCAGTCTTGTGCTGGTAGTCTGGCGTGATTGCTCTTGTATAAGGCTGTGAAGCATGTATGGGATCACTACGGAGATGACTTAGAGTTTCAGCTGGCAAAGTCCATCCGGACATTGCCGTAAGATAGCCAGCTGAGGAGGGTTGGGGGGGAACGATGAAGCCAAGGAGAGGAGAAGCGCTTTCAGGATCACGTTGGGGTCCATATGGTCCATTTTCCACGGACCTGGTCCAAAGCACAGGTAAGAAGGGAAGGTTGGTTAAGTTGTAAGGCAGCAGGAGGTATCCCCTTTGTACCCCCCCCGAATCTGCTACATTTGCTTGATCTGGGAGCCATGAAGGGGAAGGAGGTGGACAGAGTGATTGAAAGGAAGGAGGTGATGAGAGTGAAGTCGACATGATAACCGTAGGAAGTGGTTGGTGATTCTCTTTCTCCTTCTCTGATCTAAGTACGAGACTCGGCTCTACTGCATTTGGTTGTGGGAGCGATGAGGGGGAAGGAGGTGGAGAGTGTGATGAGAGTGATGAGGTTGATACACTAACTGCAGGAAGCAGTGGCCGATTCCCTTTCTCTGCTGTAAGTACGAAACTCGGCTGTACTGCATTTGGTTGTGGGAGCCATGAAGGGGAAGGAGGTGGAGAGAGTGATGAAAGGGCTGGAGGTGATGAGGGTGAGGGTGATACTTTAACGGCAGGAAGCAGTGGGCGATTCTCTGATCGGAGAACGAAACCGTTAGACGACGAAGGACACAAGGAAGCCGTTTCTGAAGATGGAGACCCGGCAAGTGGCTGCAGGTGGTAGACCGGAAGAGATGGTGCAGAATACGGCAATGTAAGACAAGGTAGGGTTTGATGTGAAACCAGCTGCTGCTCGGAAGATGATACAGGACGAACAGGACATAGATTGGACATGGAGGAGAAGCCATCTGTTGAAGGACGGGAAGATGCAACAGAAGAAGGATATGGATGAGCTGACAGGGTTGAAGGACCAGCAAACACCATACTTCCCGGGGATAACGACGGGAGGAAGCTGGCGAACATTGGCTTGGTCGAGAATGATTCTTCATGTCCTGGCAGTTGGGACCCAGGTGGTTGTGGCATATCAGAGGTTGAGACCTCACAATTGAGTGCAGCAGCAGAAGGACATGGTGGTGGTGATTGGGAAGAAGACAAGCCAAATGGCGCACATGCCCGGGACAACGATGGGGAGCAACTGTCGAAGGCCATTGTTGTCGAGAGAGATAAGTCATGTGCTGGCAGTCTGGATCCGGGTGGTTGTGACATACCAGAGGCAGAGACCCCACAATTCTCGACAAGGGAGGAAGAATCTGGTGAAGGCGAATGGGAGGGGGACTCCCATCCAGTCTGAGTTGATGGCATAGGTGGGAACAAGCAAGTTGACATAGAGGAATCAGAGGATGAACATGCAGGAGGAGAAGGGAAACAAAGAGATAGCGGAGTAGGGGGAAGAGAAAGAGGAGGAAAAGGAGGACGAGGGGGAGGAGCAGAACGAGGAGTAGTAAAATGAAGAGCAGCTGAAGAAGAAGCAAGAGGAGGAGGGGGAAGAGGGGGAGAACGAGGAGAAGGAGAAGGATGCGGAGGCGCGAGAGGAGGAGAGGCAGGAAGAGGAGGAGGAGAAGCAGTAAGAAGGGGAGAAGCAGGAAGAGGAGGAGGAGAAGCAGGAAGAGGAGGCGGAGAAGGAGGAGAAAGAGTAGTAAAAGGAAGAGAAGCTGAAGACGAAGCAAGAGGAGGAGGAGGGGGAAGAGGGGGAGGACGAGGAGAAGAAGCACGAAAAGGAGAAGGAGAGGGATGAGGAGGCACAAGAGGAGAAGCAGGAACAGGAGGAGGAACTTCTCTTCTGGGTATGCCGTGGTCCACACCATTCTGAGTAAAATGGCCTGGCATAATTTCTTTGCCTTGGTCATTCTCTGAAGCACATGATCCTGAAGCTGTGATTGGCGATGATGCTGTCAATGATGACGTGTTAAGACCAAGGTCTACGGATTGATGAAGACATTGAAGAGGACTCACAGCTTCATGCAGTTCAGACATGAAAGAGATGTGTTCAAGTCCATAATTGGAACTTGAGAGACGTGATTCGGTGTTAGGTGGGAGTTGTGGAAAAGGAGGGGATATCAATGGTAGAACAGTTTCCATGAGGGAGAACTGGGGTTGGGGTGGTGGTAATTTTCCAGCGCATGGATCTTCATGTCCTGCCGATGGGAGTTCACCCAAGGCAGTCGTCAGTGATGCAGTCGAGACCTCGGAAATACAAGCAACTTCATCGCCGGGAAAGATCATCTGCGCTGCTAGATCATAGAACACCAGGGGATTGTTACTTTCTCCCAACGTGGGAGGTAGGCACTTCCTATGAGTTGTTACTGCGGTAACTGGCAACCCGAAAGCTTGCCCTTGTGTCAGAGAGGTTATCACAGAATCCGCCGACTGAAAAGCTTGCCCTGGTGACAGCGAAAGGCAGTGATTGGTGGCAGGTTGGAGCAATCCTTGCACTGTCTCCGCTGGGTTGGAGAGAAGGCCACATGCAGCTTCATCGACTAGGTTCTCGAATGTCTGGCCTGTGAACTTGTCCCGAGCGCTGTCAGTTGCTTCTCGAGGGTTAGCACAAGGAGGACATCGATCGTCGGAGTGCGACAGCTGCAAAACCTGGCTTACTACAGGAGAAGAAAGATCAAGCAGCATGACAGACATTTCCGGCAGACTCGGGGAGCTACAAGGAGGATATTGAACGTCAGAGTGCGACAGCTGCAATACCTCGCCTACTACAGGAGAAGAAAGATCAAGAAGCGTGACAGACGTCTTCCCCGTCCGACTCGGGGAGTGATCCCACTGGTTGATTGAATTGGCACCCTCTTCGGCCACAGATTTAGTTGATGGGATCTCAATATGAGAGGGGGTCTTGACAACAACTCCAGGTGCATATTGAATCGATAAACTCCCAGCGTAAGAGGTGGTTCTCGCGGCAGAATAAGGAAGATGAGGAAGAGGGTCCGAGGTCTCCAACAGACTCCGTACTTGAACAAACTGGTTGATCGAATCGGTGTTTATCTCAGCTGCAGAATGACTTGATGGGATCCGAATGTGAGAGCGCTGAGAGGTGGTCGTCACATCGACTCCAGGTGCAGATTGAATTGAATGGATTTCGATGTGAGGTGTGGTTCGAACCGCAGGAGAAGGAATATGAAGAAGACTTAGAAGCGTAACAGACGTCTCTGACAGAGTCTGGGCATGAGCACACTGGTCGCCTGCACTGACATCCACTTCAGTCAGAGATGAAATCGACGGGTTCCCGTTGCCAGAGGCAGGGAGATCGACTCCAGCTTCAGTTTGAATGGATTGGATCGCAGAGTGAGACGTGGTTCCCGATGAATGGTGGGAATACGATGATGGCTGCAGTGATGGTTGTGCATCTATCACCATGACCGTTTTGGGAGGTACAGGTTGCATTTCGAGTTGCGATGCCGCTGCCACGGTACACGAACTCAGCCCGAGAGTATGTAGGATACCTCCCGAAGAGGATAGAGGAGGAGACGTAAGAGACGAGGGATGTGAAGGCAGAGTGCTGTGAGTTGTTGACGGAGCTGACAGCGAAGACATTGATTGCCATAGTTGCTGTGGCTGAAGCTCTTGAAGAGATAACGGTGAACAGAGGCATTGTGACAGCAAGGAGGTGTCCAACTGTGATGTCATCATACACATTGACGAAGTGCCTGAGGAGGACATGGACAGGCAAACAGCCACATCGGCAATGGATAAAGAGGAAGAGGAGGATGAGGAGGAGGAGGAGGAAGGGAAAGCTGACTGTTCTGTTGGTGTGAATGGTGGAGCTAACTGTCGTTCGATTGAGTGAGTGGTCAAACACGGGTTCACGTTTCGAGCCAAGGGCTGTAAGGCTGCCGATGGTGCACGCAAGGCGGGACTGGATAGGTTTGTGCATGAGAAGAAGCCTTCCGAGGAGGAGGAAGATGACAGGTGCAACGACAATGAACGCCTTGAGTGTTCAGCGATCAATTCCTTTATTGCTTCGGACAGTTGCTCCCAAGAAAAATATGTCACAGATGAGAGTGGTGATGACGTTGAGGGTTGGGTAGGACATTTCTGTGCCGATAGAGTTGACGTCGACGGAGAGCAGGAGAGGTTTGCCGATGATGGCTGAATTGAAGATGGTAATGACATCTCCCACCCAGCAACTTCTTCTGTGCACAAGGAGATCGACGGCAATGCGACGGGTTGTGTCGCCAGAGCGCTGAAGAGGAGCTGGTGTGTGGATGGCTGAATTAGTGATAACTGCGACGTCTCCTGCTTAGCTGATCTCTCCATTTGTAATGCAGATGATTTGGACCGTGGTTCCGATTGCTGCCCTGCGAACGGCACAGGGGTGGTCATCAGATCAGACGCTGAAAACGCGGGAGTCGAACATGATGCAGAAGGTTGTAATGACAACTGTACTAAAGATGATGTTGATGACAACAGTTGTGATGCGTCGATTGACTGTCGTTGTGGCGATGAAGGTGCCATATCTGGGGTTCTCTGTGAACAAAGGGCTGACAGAAGTTGGGTGTGAAGGGAATCCCTGACATCAGATGGCTGCGCTAGGTCTCTTTGTGTCCCTGCCGGACAAGGCAGGTGGTCAGCAGCTGCTCCAGGTACTACTGCAAGGAACTGCCCCGCACCCACGTTTGTTCCAGGTGCAGAATCTGCAGATAGAACGGGGCGACTTTCTGCATTTTCAATGGTGTCAGGTGCAGCTGGGTGGAGTCGCCATGCATACGATGTCGTTCGAAGCGCTTGTGCAAGCAATTTCCCTGGATTGGTGTCCGCTTCAAGTATTTCTGCAGGCAGCTGCCGTGCATCTGCGACTTCATACCCCACAGTGCAAGGAAGTCCAAACGTCTTTGCGAATGATGTAGGTTCCCGCAATAAATGCAATTGTGGCGTATCTTTATGTGCTGTGATTGCTGCTGCAGGTGGAAAAGACCCTCCCCCGGCATGTGCCCCTGCTCCCGGCAGTGCAAGGAAGGTGCCTGTGCCTGCACCTGCATCTGTGCCAGTTGCTGCTGGAAAGGACTCCCATGGACAAAGAACTGTTCCAGGTGCCGAGGAAAGCAAACCAGGATTATCTGTATCTTTTCCAGGAGTGGGCTCATTTGACTGTCCTGCATTGCCATACGGTATCTCTAGTGCAAGGAACTGCCGAGTGTCTGCAGATGTCCCTGATATTGCAGCAACAGATTGCTTTGCCTCTGCTGTGCCATGTGGTGCATGTGACTCCCACCTATCTGATCCAGCTGGAGCAAGGAGCTTTCCACCATCTTCCTTGGTTGGATGTTCTGGGAATCGCATAACGTGCAGACATGCATCAGTAGCTCTTCCAGATTGTGCTTGGGACTGCCATTGATCTGTTCCAGGTATATGTGGTTGGCCCGGAACTGCATCTGTTCCAGGTGTAAGGCGCTGCTGTGGAACTGCATCTGTTCCAGGTGCAGGTGCAAGGGGCTGACGTGAATCCGTACCTGTTCCAGGTCCAAGGAGACGGGCTGAAACTTCATCTGTTCCACGTATAAGCAGCTGCCCTGGAACTGCATCTGTTCCAGGTGCAAGGGACTGGCCTGAAACTGTGTCTGTTCCCGGTCCAAGCGGATGGGCCGGAGCTGCATCTGTTCCAGGTGGAAGATGCTGCCCTGGAACTGCGTCTGTTCCAGGTGCAAAGGGCTGCCCTGAGACCATGTCTGGAACTGCATCAGTTCTAGGTGTAAGGTGGTGCCATGGAACTGCGTCTGTTCCAGGTCCAAGGGGCTGACCTGAATCCGTACCTGTTCCACGTCCAAGGGGATGGGCTGGAACTGCAGCTGTTCCAGGTGTAAGGCGCTGTCCTGGAACTGCGTCTGTTCCAGGTGCAAAGGGCTGACCTGAGACTATGTCTGTTCCAGACGCAAGGAGACAGGCTGGGACTGCAGCTGTCGTAGATGGAGCTGGCAGTGAGTACCCTGGGCCTGAATCTGGGCCAGGCAGTGGAAGTGACTCTTCTGTACGTGCAAGCGTTTCTGTCAATGTAAGAGAAAGCACAGGGCCTGCTTCTGTTCCTGGAGGAGGGGACCTCTCAGCATCACTGAGAGCAAATAGAGCTGCATCTGTCCCGGGTGCAGCTGGAGGGGATTTCCCTTGGCAGTGATCTGCGCCAGGCAGCACACGGAACTTCCCTATATGTGCATACACCTCTGGGGTCGTCAGGCGTCGCATTGCATCTGTTTCCGCTCCAGGAGCGAGAGAATGTCCGGGATGACTAGGCGGCAATGAACCTGCATCTGTTCCTGGTACAGCTGCAACTTGAAGGGAGTGCACTGCGCCTGCATCTGTGCCAGGCACTGCAGGCAGCACAATGGTCTTCCCTGTATCTGTTACCAGAATTGCGATGGATGGCCGATGACCTGTTTTTTCTGCTCCCAGAGCAGGGGATCTCATGGCATGACTCTGCGTTGACAGAGCTGTCTCCATTTTTCCAGGTGCAGATGCAAAAGTGTTCCCTGCGCATGCATCCGTGTCAGGCAGCGCAGAGGTCTTCCTTGTGTGTGTATGTGGTCCTGGAATCCCAAGAAGTGACGGTTGGCCTGCTTCTCCTCCCAAAGCAGTGGAGCTTGCACTGTGACTCTGAGGCAATGGACCTGCGTATGTTCCACGCGCAGCTGAGAGGGAATTCCCTGCATCGGATTCTGTGAAAAATGTCTGTCGTAGAATTGCACGAGATGACACTTGAACTGCTCCGGCTCCCAAAAGAGGGGATACTGCATCATGAATCTGGGGCAACGGAACGGTATACATGTCAGGACCATCGGCAACGGAAATACCGGAGAGTGCATCTGTGCCAGGCAGCACAAGCGCCCTATGTGGGTTTCCTCCTGGATTTGCAGGGGATGGCACTTGGCCTGCTTGTGCTCCCGAGGCAGGGGACATGGCAGCATGAGTCTGAGGCAATGGGACAGAATTGGTTCCAACTGCAGCGGAGTTCCCTGTGCCTCCATGTGTACCAGGCAACACAAGGTTCTCCCATCTCTGTGTCTCTGTTCCCGGCATTACAAGACATGGCACTCCAGCAGCAAAGGAGCTTGCTGCATGACTGGGAGGCGATGTGCCTGAATCCGCTCCAGGTGCCACTGGAAAGGCGTTCCCTAGAAACGTATTTGCACCAGACTGCATTAGTGTCTCGCCCATGTGGGTTCCTGCTCGTGGAATCGTCAGGCTTAGCACTGTGCCTGTCGGTCCTGGAGGGGCGGAGATGGGGGCACTAGACAATGGAGCACCATCAGTTGTGCAGGGCAGCCCCTCATCATCGACTGGGTGTGCGGAGGAGAAAAGCATGCCCTCTAGATCAGGTGCGTGGGCAAGCACGTGTGAGCAGGACTCCGAACCCAATGCTGGCCACCATCCTTGAAGAACAACAGAACGGACACTCCGGGAAGAGGGAGACATTTCCGGCATATACGAGGGAACTGGAGTGATGGCCTGGTCCACAGCCTGACATTCAGCCCGGCATGCTGTCAGATCTGCAGACAGTTCTGCAGACCGAGAAAGGACAACCTGCTCATTCACTGTGCGGTCATGGTCCGATGGATCGGTGCGGGAAACTTCGCGTTGAGGACTCACACTCCTTGAACGCGTGCCACTGGGATCAAGTTGTTTGGTCGGTGCCATTGAGACAAAGACTGGGTCTTCACGCAAAGCTTCATCTAAGTCTTCACCCAATGAAGAAGACACAAAAGAGTCATGCAGGCTCTCCTGGAGGCGCAGTGTGCGGGATTCAATGGGGTCATGAGAAGAAGCAATTGGAGCCTGCTGGTGGTGCGGCAGCTCTGCAATGAATGCGGCACATCCTTTCTGGAGTCTGTCATTAGTCTGAGAGGTTTGAAGAGAAGGAATTGCGAGGAGAGATGATGGGCATGATGGCGGAAAGGAAGGCACTGATGGGGTCCAGAACGGTGGTGCCCATGAGAGATTGCACCAGGCTTTGTGGCTAGTACCAAGAGCAAACCGAGGCTTGGGCTGAGAGCAGACAAGAGAATCCTGGCTCGTCAACGCCGAGAAAAAGCTAGAGTTGCTCGACAAAAGAGGTGAAAGCACATCGTCCTTGGCGTAGACCAAGGTGACTGGAGATCCTTGCACGGAAAATTGTGAGGGAAGCTGGACTGAACCTGGTCCTGCAATGGGACCACATTCTTGACCAGGAGTACAACTATGATTGCAATGAGTAGGACAAACATTCGGGCCACATTTAGAACATGAACTAGAACCTGGTGAACGATCAATGGAGGGGCGAACAATCGGCTCAGAAGGAGAAGCTCCCCGCATCGTGAAATCTAGATAAGCTGTGGAAGCTAAAGCAGCAGCTGCTGTCACCAAGAAAGCAACAGGAGGCAGCGGCTCACGAGAAAGAATCGTCAAAGAAGTTGGCGCAGTAGCAGTAGGACGAGGACCTGCTGTTGGTGCTGTTGTTGGTGCTGTTGCAGCTAATGCTAGTGGTGAATGTGACGATGGTGGTAATGGTGATGCTGTAGGAGGGGGAGAAGGAAAGGCTGTGGCTGTTGCTCCTGTTGTTATGGAAGCGACTGATGCTCCTATTGGTATGGAAGCTGTTGTTGGTATCACTGCTGTGGACGGTAAATCAGGTGATTGCGATTTTGGTAATGACCACGTTGAAGGTGATATGGTCAAATCCAGAGCTTGTGAGAAAGTGCGGCCTTCAGATGGCCATATGGATTCATTGGTTGGACAAGCCACTGGCAAGACAAACACATTCTTGGCGAGACAGCACGCCATGGATGAGGTGTGTGTGGTAGAAGTGGTTGTGAAGCTGGACGCTGAGGAAGCAAGCACATGAACACAGTGCTCACTCCCTGAAAAAGGAGGAGGAGGAGGAGGAGTGGGAGGAAGTGGGGAAAGAGGAGCATGAGGAGAAGAAACACACAGGATGTTCGGTTCAGATAATGCTGTGGCAGAGAGCGGACAACTTGGGCAATTGTGTCCATGTGCATGCATGTGAGATGTCAGAGGATAGCCTTCCAAGATGGGTCCCGAAGAGGAAAATAAATAGGTAGGAGATGCTAGAGGAGGAGGAGAAGGAGAAGGAAGTGGAGGACACGGAGAAGAAGGAGAGGGAAATGAAGGAGGAGAGGGAGGAGGAAGGGATGCAACAACAGTAGCAGGAAGAGGAGCAGGAAATAGAGGAGAAACAGGATGAAGAGAAGAATGAGGAAAGACGGAAGCTGGGGAAGGAGGAGGACAAGGAGGAGAAAGAGGGACAGGAGAAAGCAGAGAAAGAGAAACCTCAGGAGGCAGCGGCGAAGAAGCGGAAGTAGGGCGAGAAGGAAGGGAAGGAGGTGAAAGACGAGGAGAAAGAGGAACTGGAGAGGAGGGAGAAACTAGAAGAGAGGATAGTGGAACAAGAGTAGTAGTACAGAGAGGAGGAGGAGGAGAACTAAAGGAGGGAGCAAATGCAGAAGGAGAAGGAAGACGAGGGGCAGCAGGAGCAGCAGAAGGAAAAAGTGATGGGTGAGAGGAGGGAGAAGGTAATTCAGACAACAGTGGCTGACCAGAGGGGATCTTACCGAGGACATATGCGTTAGGAAGGGCTCTGTTGCTTGTAAGAGGATGGCAGGACAAGGAGCAAGTAGGTTTGTCTATTGTAAGCAACGGTGTCGAATGCTCGGATCTTGGATTAGGATCTTGGACCTGACCATGGACCTGATCCTGGACCCGACCTTGGATGTGATCCTGTACGAAACTCAATCCTTGGTCACCAGCAACTACGTTCATCGCTGCTGAGGCAAGCAAGATAGGAGAGGAGGATGTAGTAGATGTACTGTTTTCCTTAAGGTCACTGAACACGGTACCTTGAAATGATCTGCTGGTATCAAAAGACTTGAAAGTGCCTATCCCAAGGGTTCCATGAGAATTTGATTTTGTTGAGGTCACTGGATCATTTACAGTTACAGGGGATGACATGGGTACTCTTTCGAAGTTGACGTTAGCCTGCGCCTTGTGGATGTGCAATCCGCTTCGACTTCCATCTCCAGGAATAGAATCGGGACTGAGATCCCGATCACAACTAAGGCCAGGAGCAGGAGCATGGCCAGGAGAAGAAGTAGGATCACAATCGAGACCAGGAACAGGAGCATATCCAGGACCACAATTAAGACCAGGAACAGGAGCATGCCCAGGAGCAGGTGCATCTTCAGGACCCGAATGGTGATCATAATTAAGACCAGAAACAGGAGTATGTCCAGAACCAGAAGGAGGACCATAAGTAGGACCAGGGACAAGAGCATCTGGACCATAAGAAGGACCACAACTGCGACCAGAAACAGGAGCATGTCCAGGACTAGAATCAGGACCAGAACTAAGACCAGGAGCAGGAGCATGTGCAGGACTACAAGGAGGACTAGAATCGCCATTGGGAACAGAACGAGGACCAAAAGTAGAACCAGGACAAGGACCACAAGCAGAACCAGTAACATGGTCATCAGCCCGTTGCAGTCCATGGAGATAAGCATCTTGGAAAGCCATAGCCATTCCTTCCTCTGGGATTTGGACGATAGGAGACCCTTCTTTGGATTTCAAGGCGAATCCACAGAGACTCTCTTCGTTTTTTTCCAAGGTGTGAGCACTCGCCGTTACTCCCCTTTTTAACCCCTGTTTTGCTATTTTTAGTTGCTGCAAGTGGGGGTTAATCATTTCCTGGGGGTCAACCGTTTGTGGAGGTTCCCCCGTTTGCCGAGGGGCATTCTGGAGATGAAGCATTACACGGAGGGCATTTCGAGGTTTAACCAATTCACGCGTGTCGTCTGGGGCGTCAGCCTTTTGCCAGAGGTCAGCCATTTTCCCAGAAGGGTCACTTTCGGGGTCGATCATTCTGTGGGGGTCATTTTGGAGCATTTGATCGTTGTGGGGGTCAACATCTCGCATTGCCTGGTATTGACTCCTCCGGCCGCTAGTCAACGAGCATTGACCCCTCTGAGCTGCTCCTGCAACCTCTGCCAGGGGGGTGACAGGCGTCTCCAGATCAGAGCCTCTTTCAGGCCTGATATCGGAGCCGTTTCCCAGCAATTCCAGCCTGCAATCACTGGGCTCCCGATTTTGACTTTGATTTTCCACTCCAGCTCCGGTCAAACCTTTATCCGTTATCCTCAACATTTTTTCCGGCGGCACATGTGTGCCAAGTGCTTCTGCAGACGTCACCATGAATTCCAAAAGGGCAGAGCTTCGAGACCCGCGATAGCTATTGGCACCCACGTCCATTGCTAGGGATCGGATGCACGTGGAGCCATGACATGGCAGGAAGGTTGGGACCCTTTCCAAGCCCTCTGAGGAAGCTCGTAAGGCGATCGTCCTCTCCAGGGCTTCCGCCAAGGCCCCAGTTTCCTCAAAACTCGGTGGCAGATTGGGAGTGGGCATCGGTGTGCAACCTTCACCTCTGGACACAAGCTGCTCCTTCGCTTGACGAACGGGTGCTCCCGGTCCACAAGTCGTTTCTCCACTCGAGTGTGATCCATTCAGCCATCCTTCAATCCCCTCAGAGTTTGCCTCTGGCCGAATCTCTGACCAAACCTCAGGCCAAACCTCTGACCGACCCACCGGACGAACCTCTGACCGACCCTCCGGCTGAACCTCTGGCCGAACCTCTGACCAAACCAGAGGTCGAACCTCTGGCTGAAACCCTGACTGACCCAGTGGTCGAACCTCTGACTGACCCTCTGGCTGAATCTCTGGCCGAACCTCTGACCGAACCAGAGGTTGAACCTCTGGCCAACCCTCTGGCTGAATCTCTGGCGGAACCTCAGGCCGAACCGTTGGTTGAATTTCTGACCGAACCTGTGACCAAACCTCTGGCCTAACTTCTGAACGAACCAGTGGTCGATAGTCTAACCGAACCCCAGATCGAACCTCTGGCTGAACCTCTGGGCAAAGCTTTTGGCCTGGTTCGAGACTCTGTGTAGGCCGCGTGGTGAACCCTCGATTCCCGGGTCTGCCGCCGACCTCCGCCACGGCAATGGAAGGCCCAGAAGGCCCAGAAGTTTTCCGGTCACTTGGACGCGGCCCTGTTTGCCAGCTGTCTTCCACCCCTGGCTCTGCTCCGTCTCTTGCAAGATTGTTGACGTCCCCGGGAAGATACCAATCCTGATCGTTCGATTCCGGCTGATCCGTGCAATGTCCGTCCTCCAGCGTTGATGACACTGCAACTGCCATTATTGCTGACGCCACAGGAAAACCTGCAAAACCCAACTGCTATGTCATGAATTCCATCGCTTCCCAATTGAAAGGATAATGGGCATGGTCACCGCGGACCCGGACACCAGACACTTCCGGACTGTCTTCTGGACTAGTGTCTGGAGCGGCCCGGACTGTCTGGTGATCTGGACATCACCGGACACCCGGACATCCCCGACCCAGACAGTCCGGACCGGTGCCAGGGG